TTAAGCACAAGGGGGCTATGCCGAAAAATGGTATTTAGAGAAAATCGAAGTTAAGTTTCTTTAAAAGACAAGGAGAGGTTTCTCTTTAACCAAACAAATATACACACCAGTGAAACCAGACTTCTGCTATAGGTAGGGCAATGCCCACTTTTGGTGAAGGTCAAGATTTCTGGAAACCCCTGAAATCTGGATACTGGATAGCCCGCTTGTCATTAAAAGCGACCGTTTAGGACATGTTGAGAATGCCAGGGGCAAGGTTGGCCTGTCAGACATGGTATCGTGGGTGGTTGGCGGGTGCTCTGGTGTGGTTTGCTTCTTCTTTCCTATCAAACATCTATCGTCCGTATCTCCCCTTCTCCTTTGTTATGTTTGTTACTCTCTTGTGACACCTCTAATCTTCTGGCGCTCATATGACCTTATGCAGTTGCGAGCGCCGTAAAACCCTCTACTAAAACTAAACTAAAAAGACATGGTATTGGAGACCGACTGGAAAAATGAAGAAGGGGTAGACCAACGGGCAGTCACAGAAGCACAATCAGGGATGAGGCAGCCGGTCACCCCGTGCCTAGATGTGTGTCAGGATTAGAGGAAGCGGTCAAGATCTTGCCTCTAGATCTCATCATTCCCAGGTGGATCCCGGCCTTCCTCTTTTCCTCCTCCCCAGGGGGTTCCATCTTACTTAGGCTTTGTTCTGTCTCATCGTGGGCTGGCTTCCTTGTCATTATCCCATGCCCAACCCACAGCTATTTTCTTCTCTTGATTTCCATGTCATGTGTTGTTGTGAGCGGTTGGCGGGTGCTCTGGTGTGGTTTGCTCCTCCTTTTTTCCTATCAAACATCTATAGTCTTTATCATTTCTCCCTTTTTGTGTGCAGGGGGGAGTGTGGGGGGGGGTGTCTTACTCTCTTATACCACCGCTAAACTTCGGCACTTGTGTGACCTTATTGTGCTGCAAGTGCCGTAAGACTTTTGCTAAAACGAAATCGGTTGTTGTTTAGTTCTCCTCCTCCATGATGCTACATTTCATGATCAACATTTGTGAGGCAGCGTGGTGGAATCAGGCTCTCGTCAAAATAATCAAAGGGAAGAAACTTGCATTTTTCCGCAGGTTTGTGAATTTTTATCAAATTTTTGTTTTTTGGCTCAACACCTTTCATGTCCAGTAAAGAACTCATTTCTGTATGGACTTTTCTGAAAAGCATTTATTAAAGGCGTAAAAAATGTAAATCTTCAGCTACCACGGACTTTTAAGCAAGCTAAGGAAATTTTTCTCACTAATTTTACCTCTGAAAACAGGTGACCCCCACCCCCTTCATTCGCAAATATCTCGACTTGTATTCGAGATAAACGGATATTTTTTTCACCCAAGTGAAGAAAAATGAACAAGCTTTAAGATTGTGCAAATAACTGTACATGCCCAAAAATTGACGAGAGCCTGATTCCACCACGCTGCCTCACATTTATCTCTTCTTCTTTGTGCGGTTTTATGACCAACCTTTAACCCTTTCTCTTCGTGGGTGAGTGTTTGTAGCGCGTGGAATCTGCAGCTTCCCGGGAAGCCGAGAATGTTTCTGAGTGTTCTTATCGGGACTGCCGGGGGTAATAATAGTTGGAAAGCGCATAGAGCATGCTGTTGGGCGAGGATATGAGCTATATAAATGCAATTATTCTCATAATAAAATGAGAGGGAAAGAGAGAAAGAGAGAGAGAGAAAGAGAGAGAGAGAGAGAAAAGAATAGATACAGAGAGAAAGAGAGTGAGAGAGAAAGGAATAGATACAGAGAGAAAGAGAGAGAGAGAAATGAATAGATACAGAAAGAAAGAGAGAGAGAGAGAGAAATGAATAGATACAGAGAGAAAGAGAGACAGATAGGCCTCGACAGAGATACTGGGGGTTAGCGGGGAGATACGCGGAGAGAGTAAACAGGTAGACAGACAGAGATGGTCAGAGAGAGAGGGGGGAGGACAACACACACATACACATACACACGCACACATACACACACACAAACGCGTGCGCGCGCATACGTACACACACACACACACACACACACATACACACGT